GGCCTTGCCGCCGTGCAACGTCCTTGAGGCAACAGCCTCGCGACGGTGTCAAGCGCGCAGGATCGGCGAATGCTCGCAAATTTGACTTGCCGCCGGGCCAGCCCCACGGGAAGGGAATTGTGAGAACCAAGGAATGCAGGTGTGCAGGAAGGCCGGCTTTGCAGCTGGGCTGTAGGCGACTGCCTCGCATCGGGGTTCGAGAGACGGGGGTCGGTGCAAACAGGGGTCAGCCAGGGCACTGGATCCTGCAGGATCCTGCGAAGACCCCTTCTGGCTGGCCTGGGTCAGCGAGCCGCTCGCGGCCGCGAGGTGGCCGCGCATATTGGTTGACCCGGGTTGGCGAAGTCCTGCGTTGCAGTTATTTTTTCTGCCATTGCAGTTTTTTAGTTTCTTGCTGTCCCCGGCGGGGAATAACCCGGGCCAGGAGATCCCCGATCGCAGCGAGGGCAAAGTCGCAGAACCTGCGCCCAATAGGAAACGAATTGTGGTAGTGGCTCGACGCGAGGGCGCGCAGGACCAGCGGCCTTGCCGCCGGGCAACGTCCTTGAGGCAACAGCCTCGCGACGGTGTCAAGCGCGCAGGATCGGCGAATGCTCGCAAATTTGACTCGCCGCCAGGCCAGCCCCACGGGGAACAAATTGGTAGAACCAAGCAATGCAGGTGTGCAGGACGGCCGGCTTTGCAGCTGGGCTGTAGGCGACTGCCTCGCATCGGGGTTCGAGGGACGGGGGTCGATGCAAACAGGGGTCAGCCAGGGCACTGGATCCTGCAGGATCCTGCGAAGACCCCTTCTGGCTGACCTGGGTCAGCGAGCCGCTCGTGGCCGCGAGGTGGCCGCGCATATAGGTTGACCCGGGTTGGCGAAGTCCTGCGTTGCATTTTTTTTTCTGTCATTGCAGTTTTTTGGTTTCTTGCTGACCCCGGTAGCGAATGACCTGGGTCAGGAGATCCCCGATCGCAGCGAGGGCAAAGTCGCAGAACCTGCGCCCAATAGGAAACGAATTTTGGTAGTGGCTCGACGCGAGGGCGCGCAGGGCCAGCGGCCTTGCCGCCGTGCAACGTCCTTGAGGCAACAGCCTCGCGACGGTGTCAAGCGCGCAGGATCGGCGAATGCTCGCAAATTTGACTTGCCGCCAGGCCAGCCCCACGGGAAACGACCTGTGAGAACCAAGGAATGCAAGTGTGCAGGACGGCCGGCTTTGCAGCTGGGCCGTAGGCGACTGCCTCGCATCGGGGTTCGAGAGACGGGGGTCGATGCAAACAGGGGTCAGCCAGGGTACTGGATCCTGCAGGATCCTGCGAAGACCCCTTCTGGCTGACCCGGGTCAGCGAGCCGCTCGCGGCCGCGAGGTGGCCGCGCATGTTGGTTGACCCGGGTTGGCGAAGTCCTGCGTTGCAGTTATTTTTTTCTGTCTTTGCATTTTTTTGGTTTCTTGCTGACCCCGGTAGGGAATGACCCGGGCCAGGAGATCCCCGATCGCAGCGAGGGCAAAGACGCAGAACCTGCGCCCAATAGGAAACGAATTTTGGTAGTGGCTCGACGTGAGGGCGCGCAGGGCCGCCAGCTTTGCAGCCGGGCAACGTCCTCGAGGCATTTGCCTCGCGACGGAGTCGAGCGCGCAGAGTCTACGGATGCGCGCAAGCTGGCGCTTCCGCCGGCCAGCGCCCAAAGGAGATGGTTGTGAGTCCGAGGCCAATGTGCGCGTGCAGGACCGCGGGCCTTGCCGCTGGGCTGCGTGCCTGAGGCGACTGCCTCGTGAAGGGAGGATGCAGAATCTGCGGGTGCACGAAAACCGGCAGTGCCGCCTGGTGACACGGGCCACGCGAGGATGCGGAGGACCGTAGGCCTTACCGCCGCGCTGTTTCTTTGAGGCAACTATAATACCTCGCGACAGGGGTAAGCGCGTAGAGGCTATGGGCGCGCGAAAGCGAGCACTGGCGCCAGCTAGCACCCAAAAGAAAGCGAAACGCGTTGGCTGGATTTGGAGAGACATGGGAACGCGCAGGACCTATGGCCTTGCCGCCGGGCAGCGTCCTCGAGGCAACAGCCTCGCGACAGCGGGTAGGCGCGCGTAAACTGCGGACGCAGGGTGGCTGGCATTGCCGCCAGGCTGCGTTTCAAAGAGGACGAACCTGGTACCAGTTCGACGTGAGACTGCGCAGGGGTGTTGGCCTTGCCGCCACTCAAGGCCCTCGAGGCAAACTGCCTTGGGACGTTGGATGACGCGCGGAATCGACAAACGCATTCGAACCAGCACTGCCGCCGGGCAGCGCCCAGAGGAAACGAAGTGGGAGAACCAGGGAGATGTGAGCCTGCAGGGCCGCCGGCCTTGCCGCCGGGCTGTGTCCTTGAGGCGACTGCCTCGCGACGAAAGCAACTTCGCAGAATCTGTGGATGCACGAGAGCCGGCACTGCCGCCCTGGCATCAGGCACCAGAGGCGCGTTCCCTGTCTGTCCATCAACACGGATGTGCATCTGCGGCCCATGTGGCCCTACTTTCCTGGGGAGGACCGCGCCTGCCCTGAGTGTGAGGGCGCAGGGTCCGTGGCCACAGTTGTCCGGCCATTTCACCGGATAGAGAGCTGCCCAGGGGTGCTCTTCGAGGTCAGGGAACTCGTAATGGCCCCCCCTTGCGTCTCCAGGGCTCCTCCTTTGGCCCAGTATCGAATGGCGTCGGCACGGGGAGGAGGAGGCGGAGGAGGAAGAGGCGAAGGAGGAAGAGGAGGAAGAGGTGAAGGAGGAGGAGGAGGAATAATATTAATAATAATGGTACTACTGCTACTAATCAGTATTGTTATAAATTGAAGATGAAGCATACGAATCATCATCATAATGCGAATATTGTACAATTGACAATAGTAATGCTAGTAATGGTAACCGTTATAACATGATGGAGAAGAATAACACCAATAATATACCAATGGCAACTATACGACTGAAGATTAGTAAGACCGACTAGTCATAATATTCATGCGAATAGCAATGCGATTGATAATACTAATGACGACGAAAAATATTCAGAGGAGGAGGAGGAGGAGGAGGAGGAGGAGGAGGAGGAGGAGGAGGAGGAGGAGGAGGACGACGACGACAACGACGAGGACGAGGACGAGGACGAGGAAGGGGAGGAGGAGGAGTATGAGATGGAGGAGGAGGAGGAGGAGGAGGAGAGGAGGAGGAGGAGGAGGAGGGGATCCCCCCCACGGCATGCCGCGCGGAACGCACCACCCCCCGCGCCTGGGGCCGCGGCCACGGGCCCTGTCACCTGCTCCTCGGAGGCGGCGAGAGGGGCGAATAGGCCAGGGGCTGGCATTGCACGCATTCGCCCTGGAGCTTTTGTTCAAGGTATGGACCATCGGCGCCCCTGGATTGTAGTGGCCTCCGGCCAGTGCCGCCGATCCGGGGCGCTCCGGATGATGATGATGGTGATGTGACGATGGTGATGGTGATGGTAATGCAGATGGTGATGATCCTGGCCCCCCCCAGTCACCTCCCTTCCTCTCTCCTGTCCCCCTCCCCGTCTCTCCTGTCCCCCCCCCCTGTCTCCTTTCCCTCCCCCCCTCTTCCCTGTCCCCCCCCCTTCTCTCCTGTCCACAATTTCTCAATATGAATACTGCTCTCCCTCTCTCCCTGATGACGGCTTGAAAGTGTTAGCCCCCCCCGCTTTGTGTTTTTTACACACAGGATTCCCCGGAGTTGGGTTTTCGTTTTCGCTTTTTTTTTTTTTTGTTCCAAAATGCTGCTGTCGCTGAGGCGCCGGCCTCATTTTCGGGCCCCGCTCGTTCCGAATCGTGCTCCCGCTGCAGCGCTGGCCTCATGTCCGTGCTTCCGCTCGTTCCGAATCGTGCTCCCGCTGCAGCGCTGGCGTCATTTCCGCGCTTCCGCTCGTTCCGGCTCGTGCTCCCGCTGCAGCGGTGGCGTCATTTCCCGTGCCATGCTACGGCATGCAATGCAATGCTAGGTTGATGCTACGCTTTGCGGTGCTCTTCTACGCCATGCCATGCCGTGCTCTACAATGCATCGCGTACCCTTTCGGGATCATTGCCCTGCTCGACGTCCGACGGTGCGAGTAGAGAGGGGATCTACGCCATGGTAAGGGATGGGAGGGAGGGGTAGGATGTCAGATATGACGCGAGCGCACCTAGCTTGCCCTCTCCCCTCCCCCCCCTCTCTCTCCTGTCCCCCCCCCCCCCCCTCTCTTTCTGGTCACCCCCCCCCCTCTCCTGTCCCCCCCCCCCTCTCTCCTTTCCCCCCCTTCCATCATGTCCCCCCCCCCCTCTCCTGTCCACCCCTCCCCCCCCCCCCCCCCCCTCTCCCTGTCCCCCCCCCCCTCTCTCCTGTCCCCCCCCTTCTCCCTGTCCCCCCCCCCCCGTCTCCCCCCCCTTTCTCCTGTCCCTCCCCCCCCCCCCCCCCTCTATCCTGGTGGCTGGGGGGGGGCGAGCATTTATATCCGTCAGTTAATTACGTCCACCCCCCCTCCCCCCTCTCAAGCAGAGCTAAAGGTCATGCTGAAGCAGAGCTTCAGCTTAAACTTTTTACACTCACACGCCGGATCGGCGGATTTGCCACGTGGGAAGCGGGTCCCGGGGAAAAACGGGTCCTGAGGTTCTTCTCCGTTCTCGGGCTTCCGTGACCCTTCCTGGGCCCCAGGCTTTCCAAACAATGGACGGCCTCGTATTGGGAGCTGGCCCCAGGGTCCAGAAACCGCTTCCATCGGTTGCCCGCTCCCACGTGTTGAGTATGTGCAACGAGGCTCCTGGAAACCCACACTTCTTCCCCGACAACCACGTCAAGAGGGTCCCGATGCATTGATCTCACTCGCCCGTCCGCCTGGGACAGCCAGAGAGGCCCCCGCGATCGCCACAGTCGGCCCAAAGCGCTCCCAAGACTGCCCCAAAACGTCCCAAGAGGGCCCCTAAGACGGCACGGGAGGCCTGTCAAACGGCATCCTGGCCGGTGTGTTGTTCCCCCCGGGCCTGTTCGCCCGCCTGGCCGCCCCCACGTCACCCGCTCCAGCGCTCGGATCGGAGCCCCTGTCTTACGTGGGCGGCGTGCTTGATACAGCAGCCTGTCAGCAGGCACTCGCGGCCGCGCACGGCGCGCCGCAGGGGCACGCTCCGCCAGCCGGCCCCCTCCCCGGTCAAGGGGCGGATTTGCGGAAGAGGAGGGAGCCATGAATAGAAGGCAGAAAAGCCACCCCGATGACAAGCACCCCGTCAAGCGAAGCCGTTTAGTAAACGCACCCAAGGAAGGAATCGAACAGGGTGGAGTTATTTAGTAGACGCACAGGGCCGTCTAGTGAACGCCAATTGCCGGGGTCTGGGTGTTTTTTTCCTCCCTTGAATGAAAGGAGGGTGTTTTTTTAACCCTCTGTCGTGCAGTGGCGCAGCGTCCACGCGCCGAAATTCCTACCAAAGACTGTTACACGAGCCCTTTTCACGGTCTGCACGGAGTATTTTTGGGAACTTGTTGGCTGAGGGGATTTTGGTTCAGCACAGTGGGTTTATGATCTAAGTACGGCGGTTGCGTTCTTAAAACACGTTCTGGTTCGGAGACCGTGTCGTGTTGGACCCGTACGAATGCCGAAACGGTCGGTCCCTGCCCAAATGAAAGGAGGGTGTTGCTTTACCCTCTGAGCGTTGACTCTCGTTATGCCCCCCCCGCCCTGCACCCCCTTTCACATTCCCTCTGATACCGTAACGCTCCTCCCCGCACAGTGCGCCCCCAGCACCGCCGTACTTGCCACGGTGGGGGGCGCGGGCGTTACGTTATGACCCCCCACCCCGCTCCCCCCCTCTCCCCCTCAGAACGCCCGCTGTCGCCGCGGACAAAAAAAGCTTTCAATCTGGGGAGAGATACCATGACCCCGCCCATGATATCCACACCGCCTGGTCACAGCCCCCTTGTTGGCCGCCCCCGAAGATTGCCGAAGGGGCATCAGGTCGGTATGAAGTCCGAGTAGACGTGGTCGGAGGATCTCGCCACATCGCCGATGTATCGGCGAATCGGCTCGATGCGGAGCCCGATTTTCTCCACGCCAGTGTCGCCGTTTCATCGCCAATACGTCGCGGGTGCATCTCCGATGCATCGCCGATGTATTTGCGACCCCATCTATTCGGACGCCGTGTGGGAGGTCTCTAGTCAGTGGGGGGGTTGAGACATCTGCTCCTCCCCTGTCCACTCCCCCTCCCCTCTCGGTGCCGAGGCGCCCCCCAGCGGGCCGTTTTCTGGCAATCCACGCAGGAGGTTGATCACCGATACTTCTTTCGATTGAGAAGGGTCCTGCGCCGACGAACGCAGGCGCCCGACCCAGTGGCAGAGTTTTCATGCGGCGCAAAGTATTTGGCGTCAATGTGTGCCGTGTGGTGCAGCCGTGCAGGCTCCAGGAGACTGCTGCATTCGCCCGCAATTTTCCCATCCAAGTGCTGGTCGGCACTCGATTGCACGCGGCCCCCACCGACCCCGTCGGAAGGCAGACGCGCGTGGGCGACCACGACCTCTTGCACTTCGGGCACGGGCGAGGACCATTCACCAACTGTCCGGCGGGTGTGAGCAGTTCCTACGGCGGCGGGGCAGGATGTTGATTCAATTGTGTTGTACCTGGACCCGTTTACGGACGGGCGGGCCTCGTCTGTGTCAACCCTGGCTCGCTGGACATCACGATCGTGGCGCTGTACGTTCCCCCGCCTGGCCCGCGCGGTAAGCAGGCTACCTGGCGCAGGACGGACGACGTGCTGCTCGAGTGGCTCAATGCCCAACTGGACGCCATCCCTGATCGTTCGCATCCCATCATCCTCGCTGATTTGAGCGACTCGTTCGTGTTGGCCGACGCATCGGCTGGCTTTCAGTGCGTGGACCCATTCGTGCAGGATCGCGTGGGGTATTTGTCGACGGGCCTACGTGAGTTGATGCGTCATTACTTCTTGGGTTGCGCCACCACCCTTCGCAATATTTAGCCCCCCTGGAACGGGAGATGTCCTTGTCGCCGATCGGCCACTTCATCGTTCAGTTTGGCGTGTTTCCCAGTGTCAACAGGAGCCTGGCGATCACATAGGCGGCCAGGATATTGCAACTGTTCCTGTGCAAGGGTACCCTGCGCGACCGGTCGCCAGTCTTGATGGGGCTGGACGCGGGCGTGCCGAGATTACAGACGCCTCCGGCTGCCATGGCATTGACTTTTCGACGCGGCGGAGGCCGGCCTCCAGACTCCTGGGTTCAGCGAAGCCTTCTTCGAGGAACTCACTATTGCCATTGCGGAAAAGGCCCCCGACATTTTTGATTGTTCGGCCGACGAGATCGACGAGGGCTACAAGCTGCTTGCGTCCGTCACCGCGCAAGTCGGCTGACCTCGCAGGGCCCCTGGTGATAAACTCTTTGTGCAGGCGTGGGCCCGAAGCGCCGCGGCTACGCGGCGGCGCACCGACGCGACGCCACGTCCGACGAGTTGGCTGCCTCTCAAGGTGTCCTTGGGAAGCATGGCGGCCCATCGGCTGGGCGGGTTTCGCTTTACGATTTCTTTGGCGACAGGGCGCAGCTCCCTCCTCGCGGAATCAGCGGCAGGAGCTCGGCGGCGGCGCTTGGCGGGCGTGATTTGGTTCGGGTTTCTGGGGCGCTTCGGCGCGCCAGTCGGCGCGGGGCCGCCCGTCCCTGGTCGCTTCCCGGGGGAATCTGGCACACGCTCCTCAAGCCGCATTACTTCGGCAAGCCCCGCCTTGACCCTTTCGGCCTGGGTGCTACCCCCCCCGCTGTGCGCGCAGTCGAAGACTTCCTTGGGCGTCTCGCCGCGCGTTGGAGGATGCGCGGGCGTTTCCCTGAGTCGCGGGCGTCTCGATTGGTTGGCAAACTCCCGTGCCCAATGGGCGCGCTCGGTTTCCACGCGGCCCGCGCGTTGTTTTTCGAATGCTCCCCGCGGGGATCCACGGGCCGCCCCCCCCCCGCGCCCGCGGCCAGCTGGCTGATTTCGACGGCGGGCGTCTCCCGCACCGAAAGAGGGGCGCTGCCATGCTCGGCCCGCGCGCGATGTCTGATCGCCCTCGTGCCGCGCGCGCGGCGCGTCGCTGTGTCTGGCGACGTGGAGAAATCTTGCGGTTCTTGCGCGACTTTGGGAATTGTCCAGGTGGGCGCTCGGCTGGCGTCCTGCAGACGCACCGCGCATGTTTGGCGCGTCGATGGAGTTGACCACCGCGCCACCCTCACTTTCGAGGCGGGGCGCTCACGGGGGGCCCGAGTGCGCCATTTTCACATAGGGTTGAGTTCGCCATCGCTCAGCAGCGATGGCTGGGCCCGAACGAGGCCCCAGCCTGATCGCGCGACGCCCGCTTTCCGCGGCGTTTCCCCTGGCCCTTTCACGCGCGCGGACCGCGGCGCCCACCCCCCCCCCTCGTGGGAGACGCGTTCGAGGACGCCGCCTCGGCCGCCCAGGCGTCGCAGGACGCGCTGGGCAACGCGGTCGAAGAATTCGGCGACCGCCAGAACAGGAACGCGGAGGTCCGGCCACAACGCCGCGCGCAAGTTTTATTCGGCTGGCGTTGACTGGGCCAGGGCGGCCCCCCACGCCGGGCACCTGGGGCCGCATTTCCCCCCCGTCTGGGGCGATGGCGCGCCGGTTAAGTTTGAGCAGGCAGCTCACAAACAGGGGCTGGATGTCTTTGAAACTGCCGCGGCCCTCGGGGGTCCGTGCAAGGTGAAGCGGCGGCTTCGTTTCCATCGCGCACGGCGCGCTTCGGCCCAGCCTCTCCTTCGCATCTCCTCGCAGGCCCGAGGGGCCCAGATGGGCGTTGCCCTGCCGGGGCAAATCCGTCGCGCAAGTGCCGGGGCAGCGCGCGATAGGTGTCGGGCGGCGCCCAAGGGTTGGGAGGCTACGGCGCCTCGGGTCTGGGGGTGCATGACCGTCGCCCCGTCCTGCGTCGAGCTGTTGATTCAGTGGCCTCGTCGGCGTCGATCGATCGCTCGATGGCCCGACTCGAATTGCGCGCCCAGGCCATCGCCCTGCCGTTCGGCCAGTTGGCCAGATCGGCTTCGGGTCGCACCGCGCCCTGGAGGGCGGCCGCCTCGCCCAGCGGGCTAACGCGCTCGCGTTTCGGTTTGCCGCGGGCGCATGCACATTCTGTTCGCGCGCTACGAAGACTGGAAACGCACCTGGGGGGTGCATGCGCGAGTTGTTTCGATGACCACGTCGAGCGCATAGGTCTCTTGGCGGACCTCTAGGCGTTGGGCGCGATGGATTCTGGTGGCCGCATGGATCCGCGCAAGCGGGTGGTGTGGTGTGTGTGTGTGTGTGTGTGGGGGGGGGGGGTCGACTTGTCAAAAGTTCCGGGCCCTTCGGTTCGCGTTTTCTTTGCGGGTTCACAATGGGGCGCGGGCGACGCGCGCGGGCCAGGTTCCCATCTCGCGCCGCTCCCATCGCGCGTGAGGCGCGCGATCGGGGGGTCGCGCGGTGAGTTCTTATTGCGCCCGCTGCGGGCCCAGTTTCGCTTTCTGGAAAACCGCCGAGGCCCGTTTGCGTCTTCCCACTCGCAGAGGGCGCCGAGCTGCAGAGACTGCCCATGCCGTGCATCCCGTGGTCTCTCCCGAACTCGCGCGCGCAGTCTGCGCGCTCGCATGATTTGTCCAAGCGGCTCAGCTTCACGAGCGCGCGCGTGAGCGACATTGCCAATTCGCCCCGCCCGCGATGGCCGCGGCGATGTCCGGCGCCCCCAGCGCCCCCGAGCGGCCCGCTCCTGGGCGCCGAGCCGAGGCCGAGCCAGAAGGCGCGCCGGCCGTCGGCAAGGCGAAGCCGCCCTGCAGGGGGCCGCCCGTGGGCGCGGCAGCAGGCTCGGCGTCAGATTCAGCTCCTGCCTTGGGCGCGGGGGGGGGGGCAGCGCGCAGCGCCGCCGGCGCCTAGGCGAGGCGGAGGGCGCGGCCTGCAACGAGATGCAGGCTGACCTGACCAACGCGCCCATCAAGCAAACCTTCATGGCGGCGCCGTTGGTCAGAGACCCGTGGGCGGCGCGAGCGCGACCCTGCTTCGCGGGCGCGGGGTCCCGGAGATTGTCGCCGCGCAGAAGGGCGGGGCGACGCATTCGCGCGATGTCAAAGCCCGACGGGAAGGCCGCCAGCCGGGCCTCCTCACTCAGCGCCTGTCTGGCGAAGTTGCTCGAGCACGGGCTC